AAGACCACTACAATCAGAATGGACCGACAGAGGAGAATAAATAAATAAGTCTCAGCTATAAGCTGTCCACAAAATGAAACATGAAGATAAAAACAGTTTTGGAGTAAAAGAAAAGGAAAAGGAAAAAGTAGGCAAATGAATTTCTTTAAAAAGCTGAGTGGCTGAATCTATGTCAGATTAAATAGACCTCAAGGCAAGATTGTTAGCAGAGATAAGAGGGAAATTTTTGTAATAATAAAGGATTCAGCACCACACAACACATCTAAGTGTGCCTGCAGGTGATAGCAAGACTTCCTAATAAGGGGCTGGGGATTTAGCTTAGGGGCTGGGGATTTAGCTCAGCGGCATAAGTGCCTGCCTTGCAAGCAGGCAGTTGTGAGTTCGATCCCTGGTACCAGTAAAAACGAAAAAGACAAAAAAAAAAAAAAAAAAAAAAAGACTTCCTAATAAATAAACCCAGACCTAAAAGAAATACAAGGAGAAGTTGGCAAATCTGTGACAGAACTGGAGGCTTTATTACCTGCCCCCCAAGTTGGTGAGAGAATTACTGAACCCAAAAATCAGCACAGATACAGAAAAGGTAACCGACATCAACAGACATCCACAACTGCAGACCACGCAGTCCTTCCAAAGGCAATTCTAGCAGTCACTGTCTGCTTGGCCATAAATTTCAAAATATTATATATCATGGAGGTATGTTCTTTGGGCACAACAAAATTAAATTAGAAATCAGTAATAATCTGGAAGTTAGAGACTTCCCTCCACAACAACTATTTAGAAATTGAACAAATAATAAATAAATGTCAAAGAACTGAAAGAGGAAATCAAAAAAAATTTCAGAATCAATGAAAATGCAGACCTGCAAGATGCCGTGGACGAGGGGAGAGGAAAGGGCGCGGTTCTGCCTGCTGACATTACAGAGGGAGGCAGGTTAGCATCAGTGACAGAAGACCTCACCTTCAGGGAGGAAAAGGAGCACATTTACCAAAAGTAAACAGACAGATCAAAATAAAAATAAAATTAGAGTCAGAAGGTAATCAGATAGAAAACAGAAAAGCAATACCAAGAATATTGTTATTGAGAAGATTAATAGAATTAATAAATACCTCATAGAAAAAAGAGAGATCAACGTCAGAAAGAAAAGAGGGCATTCCAGACCTCACAGAAACAGAATGAGAGAATATTACGCACAGTGCTGTGTTAATGCACTTGCCAACCGAGGGCAGCTAGAAAGTTCCTTTGGAAACACGCCTCGTCCCAGTGACCCAAGGTGAAACAGAAAGTGTCTTCAAAGAAATTGAAGATATCAGAAGTGTTCTGAGACAGGAAAACTTCAAGCTCAAGTGATTTCCCTTCTGAATTCCAACATTAATCAAGAAATAACATCAATCATAGGAAAACCTTTTCAGAAAATACAGAGAGCAGCATTTCTCTACTCCTTTACTGATATTACCATCCTCTTGATATTCCAACGCCTGTGAAACAAAGCATTTCAGCAAGAAAAGTTCTCCATGAGCTCAAGTACCAAAGTCCTTAGCAAATATTAGTAAACACCTATCGTGCACCGGTAAACTTACTGTAGAAATGCAACACTGAGTTGGTTTTTGAAAATCAAAGAAATTCATCATATTAACAGAATAAAAATGAAAAGGAAAAATATTTGTGAAGATGCAAAACCCTTTTGGTTTAAAAATGTGCAGACACTGTCTGTGAGGGAGAAGCAGGAGCGCCTGCCTGCTCAGCCTGTCAGAGGCAGCTGCAGAAATCATGCCTCCAGCGGTGCTTCCTGAGCGAGCCCTTCCCCACCTTCACGCCACCCCCAGCATCGCAGGTCTAACAGCAGCGATGGCCCTCGGCAGCTCGGAAAGCCGAGAAAAGAAAAAGAGACGGGAGTGACATGATTATTCACCAAGACTTAAGAACAAGGACGAAACAGCTAGAAGAAATAAGTCAATCTAGGCGATCAGGGCCTTTCCAAGGTCAATACTGATCATCAAGTGTATTTCTATAAATCAGCATCAAAAAATAAGATAACAAAATTATACATGTTCATCTATAATTACATCAAAATGTAAAGTACTTAGGAACAAATTTAACAATAGTATTGCAAACGCATTTAAAAATGTTGCCACGCTTAGATACATTAGGGAAAGTCTAAATAAATATCAAAAGAGCAGGTCATGTGGTTGGATATTTTCTGAAGCTACTGAATAAATTGAATGATCAACTACTACATTCCAGGCACTGTCCTAGTCACTGGACAGAAAATAAGGTCCTGACCTCATTACATTTAAATCCTAAAGAAGCAAACAACCAAAACAAAAATTTTACCCAATATAAGGTCCTGCCAAAAGCTATGAAGAAACCAGGTAAAGGAGAGAGCAATGCTAGATGGCTGTTTTATAAATCAGCCAATGAAAGCCGAGCAGAGGGCTGAAGAGGTGAGAGAATGAGCCGCTGTGTAAATCAGAGGAGAGAATTTCCGACTGACCCACCAGCAGGTGCAAGCGTCCTGTGGCAGGAGCAAGCCCATTGGAGAAACAGCAGAGAGACTAAGGCTCAGGGACCCCCGACTTCCAGGGTTGGGGATCTCACTGCAGACCACACAGAGCCACAGCTGAGGCTCAGGAGTGTGCTCGGCGGGCTTGATAAAGACCACTCTGCTGCTATGGGGAGAGGGAAGCTTAGGGGGCAGAGAGTGAAGTGGGGCGGGTGTGCCCTGCACTGTAAGGGAGAGTCAGGGGCTGGCTCTGCACAAACAGGCCACGGGGTCTGCTCGGGATCGCACGTGAGCTTTGAGGGAAATAGAAAAGTCTAAGCGGCAAGAATGAAGTCCCTGTTTATAACATGGTGGACGGTGTACAGACACAGAAAATCTAAGGCAGAACAAGGGTGTGCAGCTTCTACAGCTCTAGTGGGGAATCGCAGTCCAGGGACAGGGTCCCCGAAAAGGCAGAGGAGCAGGAGCCACCAGCCGGTGCCAGGGCGAGCGCTTTCCCCGACCCTGCCACTGAGAGGCCACACTGCGAAGGCAAAGCCCGCAGGGCCCAGGCAGAGAGGACCTGTGGGCAGCCCACCTCCAGATGGTGCTGAAATCCTGTGAGGTGAGACATGGGGCCAGAGGAGAGGGAGGGAACAGGAGGCGGAGGGGGAGAGGAGGGGAGGGGAGGGGAGGGGAGGGGAGGGGAGGGGAGGGGAGGGGAAGGGAGGGGAGGGGAGGAAAGGGGAGGGGAGGGGAGGGGAAGGGAGGGGAGAGGAGAGGAGGGGCAGGGAGAGGAGGGGAGGGGAGGGGAGAGGAGGGAAGGGGAGGGAAGGGGAGGGGAGGGGAAGGGAGGGGAGGGGAGGGGAAGGGAGGGGAGGGGAGGAAAGGGGAGGGGAGAGGAGGGGGAGAAGAGGGGCAGGGAGGGGAGGGGAGGGGAGGGAGGACAGCAGCAGGGAAAAGTAACGACAGAAAACATTTAGAAAGCTTTCCTAAGTGCTCCCCTGCACGGATTTGCAGCGGCTCTGACCGTCCTCCTCCATGCCACAGGCCACGGGAACACAAGAACTTAACCAAGGCCCCATGGTGGGCAGTGGTGAGGGTGGCTTTGGAAGCCAAGCCATTAGTTTCCTGGACTCGGTCTGAGCCCCGTGCGCTCAGTGCCCCTAAAACAGGGTGTGTGCAGGGCAGGAGACCCCCAGCAAATGAGGCTGAGGTCCTTTGGGACACTGGAACGTCCAGTCACTGAGCTAAAACACAAGACCCAGGCTTGACGCTTGTTCAGGCCATAGACCACCTGAGCTGGGGCTGGAGCTGTCTGACCACGCTCACCTGGTCAGGCCACGTCCCCTACAGCCGGACGCGGTCCTGCTCCTCCAGGCCCTGTCCCTCGGGTCCTGAGAACACACTTCATGGCTGCCTCTCTGCCTAAAAGTGCTTTCAGCTGGCTGCAGCCTGGGCCTTGAGCCCCTGGCCCAGTGAATGTTATGTTTTTGATCCTTGTTGTTACCTCCATTAACTTATAGTCCCAATAACGAAGTGTCTCTCAAGACCTTGACTAGGTAATCTGTTTACCATCAACGTTAGGTAAAGCATGATTGTGTGTGTGTGTGTGTGTCTGTGTGAGTGTGAGTGTGACTGGAGCTTGAACCCAAGGCCTCACAAACACTAGGCAAGGGGCTGGGGATTTAGCTCAGCGGCATAAGTGCCTGCCTTGCAAGCACGTGGTTGTGAGTTCGATTCCCGGTATGGAAAAAAAAAATGGTAGGCAAGAGCTCCAGCACAAGGCTATGTTCCCGGCCCTTTTTATTTTCACTTTGATACAGGGTCTCAATCTCCAGGCCGGACTCACACTTTTAACCCTCCTGCATCTGTCTGCCAAGCTTCAAGTGTGAACCACCAAGCCCAGCCAACGTTTGTGCCGAGATCCGTTACCATTCGTCACGTTGTTAATGGCATTATTTCTTGGGTTCACTCGTCTCCTGGTCTGTGAGTCGCTCTCCTTTCGTTTTGTAAAGGCCTGTGTGTCAGGGTTATTAACTAACTCTGCCACGAAGGTTGCAAACAGCCTTCCCAGTTTATCTGGATTTAAGTATTCATAGGATGAACAGAATTTTCTTAATTTTGTTAACAAAATTCACAAATGAAGAACCTGTGGGTGGCTCTCTTCTGATGAAATGATTAAATCAGGTCTGTATTCTCTGACAGAGCACACGCAATGCACCCTCCACAGCAGCATCAGTGCCGTGAGGCCCACTGAACGCCATCTGGTGACCCAGGGTCTCCGGTCTCGACCTCTCCCCTTCTCAGGCTTTTCCCTTTGACTCCAGAGGCCTCACTGAGACTTTGGAGGCCATCCGTGCACTCATCTCCTTCCAAGGCTGACTTTTAAGGGTGCAGGCATCCGAGGTTGACGGCCAGCATGGGAACCCGGGCCTCTGCCTGCTTGCATCTGTTTGAACCCTCTTTAGGAGAGTGCTGTGCCACAAAGCTGGCTGTGTTGGACCCGTAACACACTGACCTGCCTCTCCAGGTGGTGGCGGAGCTGTTCTGACAGGAAGACCAGACAGACAGACAGGCCAGGAGAGGGCCAGCAGGGCTCTCCCAGCGCTGGGTCTTGCTCCAGTAGAGCCCGACTGTGGTGGACGGGTCTGTCATCTGTGAACAGATCCAGCGCTCTATGGACAAAGCCCAGCAGTTGCCAGACCTCAAAGCCCTCCAAGTACAGCGTGGCCAGAGCTTGAACAGATGACTTCAGCGGTGGGCAGAGCCAAGAGCCAAATACTTTGTCTTCTGCTATTTATTTTTAAATCATGATTATGTGTTCCCTCTTTCCTCAGGGCCATCCAGCATGTACTAACACTGTGCAGAGGCTCCTGGGGGTCTGGCCCCTGGCATGAGCACAGAGGAGACATCAGGCAGGTGCTGGGAACAGGATACCCATGGCAGATGTTCAAAGGGTGGACCGCACTTGGCTGGACTCGCTATCCAAGAAACATATCCTGCTCCAAGGCCACGATCATCTGGGAACAGTCTCGGGCACTGGATCTCCACCCTCAGGTAGTGCTTACCTGCCACCCCTGGAGAGGAAGCTAGGGAGGTTCGAGGGGGATCGTGTCCCCCTTACCCTCCTCTGCTCTTTGAGACCCAAAATCCCAGCCCTTTGGGGGCTCAGACCTTCAAACAAACCCCCAGCTGCCACTCCCCGTCACCGCCATCTACCAACCTCGTGCAGGTTCTCTTCACTTATCAGGCTCTGCAGTGTCTGGCCACCACTGTGCCCACCGAGAAGTCCCTAGGTGAGCTCGGCATCTGCTCGGACAGCCCAGGGCGCACTCAGAGGTGGCCTTCGTCTTCTGTCCACCCTGACCATCACTGCCGGCCAGACATTGCGTTCCTCGGTTCCCTGCCATCTCTGAGCAGCCTTTCGCTATTGGGAAGAATATTTTCAAGGAAGGGGTGCAACAGGCGGAAGGAAAGAGAGGGCTGGGGTGAAGCAAGCCTCGCCCCTCAGCCCCCACCGCACCCTCCTGACACCTCTGCCCGTCTCGGAAGGCAGCACCTGCAGAGGGACTCGCGAGGCCCATCCCGGCCAGCAGCGCCGGCCATCCTTTCATCTTTAAGCTTGCAGCCGTGGGTTCCGGCACATCCTCTCCTCCTTTCTTCCTCTACCTGATGACATGCTCCTCTCCTCCTCCGCGGTGACCTCGTCAGCCGTACCCCAGCTCCTCGCGATGGAGTTCTAAGAGTCGAGGGCTTCTTAAAACTGCCCTCTCCTGTCTTCAAACTGCTCTTACGGCCTCCGGCCTGACCCATGCTACCCACTTCACGGCTGAAGTTAATGTACATGCTGATAAGTCTCAAATCAGTATCTGCCTACTGCGGTCCATGATTGTCTTACCGTAACTGATACCACAGACTGGATAACTTATAAAAACTAGCATCCTGCTTAGCTCACAGTGCGGAGCATGGCATGGCTTTGGCTTGCAGCTGGTAAGGGCCATCTTGCAGGGCCAGGGCCCGGGGGAGGGCATGAATAATGAGACGGGCGTGAAACGTTGCTGCTGTACAGGTCTCTCCCTCTCACAGTGTCATAATGGAGTTCCGCTCTTCCAGTCCCGGTTACCTTCAAAGACCCCGCCTCAAATACCGCTAGGCAGATGATTTTGAAAGTTAAGTTTCCAATACACGATCCCACGGGACCACCCAAACTGGAACAGTATCTTCAGTCAAGGTGTCTCCCTAGAAAAAATGCTCAGCTGCTCAACCCTCCACTCAAGTAACCCACCGGCTACGTCAGATTCCCATCAAGCCCTGCCCCAGCACTCGGCAGATGCTGGCTCGTATCTTATTTTTGCCTCCATGTACCTGGTTGTCCCACTCAGAATCCCAGCATTCCCTTGGGCCATTCTCCCCCTCACCCAAGCAGTCCAGTAAGGCCCTAAAACTGCCTTCACCCATGCCCCGCTGAACTTCTGACGTCTGTCCCATTCTGTCTGTCCACACCATTCTCTCCCTGGCTCATGCTGCAATCACACAGCTGCACCTCGGTGACAGCCTTCCACCTGCTCGTGCCCTGTGCCACAGCCAGGACAGCCTGCAGCATTTTCTAAAAGACAGACCAGAGAGGAGGGCCACGGGTTGATGGCCTCAGCATCTGTGGGCCCGAATTTAGCTGCACCTGGACATAGACGTAGCCCTAGGAATACCTAGAGGCCTTTACAGGGGTCTTGGAATAAAGCCCCACGTGTTCTCACTGTGACTTTTCCAAGGCCCCCTATGACCCGATTCCTCTCTGTGTCACCCGCTTCTCTTAGCAATGTACATCACTCTTCAGCCACCAGCAGCTCCTTCCAAGCTCCAGCTATGGTTAACTTTGGTCACTTCAGGTGATCACCATTTCCTCCCGGAAGTCTCCCCAGAGTCCCTGGGTTTGGGTTTGATGCTTCCATCAACACTAACTACCGGGCTGCAGAACTCTCCATCTGTGTCTCTGCAGTGCTGATTTCCCACACCAGCTGGAATTTCTACTTATTGGCAAGACTCATGCCAAGTTGCCCAACCCATTGCCAGCTGGGGACCCCTTTCCCTGCGCCCATCGTGCTCCCCTGTGAATGCCCAGGTTCCACTCCGAGACAACCCTTCACTGTTAGCAGTCTTCTCTCAGCCAGGACCAGAATGTCCATACAGACATCGAGCCAGCACCTGCTCTCCCCATGCCAGGAGGAAACTGAGGCTCACAGAATATGCTTTCAAAAAACCCTTGGAGAAGCTGTGACTCAATCAATCCAAGAATCAAATCTGTTCAGAGTTTCACCTCCCACAAGCAAGCTCATGAGCACACTTTCAGGAGCCTGCAAGGCTGACCTCAAGGCTGAGCCTGAGAGTTCTGACCTCAAAAGCACTGAAGCCCTACTGTGGCGGGAATCTGGCAGAACTAACTGGGCTGTACGTGGCTTGGTGTTGGGACTAAATAAAATAAAAAACATAGACTACTCTGGAAAATGAAACCACCTAGACAGCCTTGAAGGTTTATGACCAGAAAGCCCCTCAGCCAATCAGATGCACAGAAAGAAAACCAAATTTAGTCACAGGAGCTCAGTGGATCTTACGGTGGCCACAGATGCTGAATCACCCGAAGAGGAGGTGAAGGGAACCGTCAAAGAGGCAAAGAGAGCACAGGTCTGGGCCCCAGGTGACATGGTTCAGACCAGCGTCTCTGGGCAGTTACTGAGCCTTGACCTGCCCTAGGCCAAGGCAGAGGACAACACAGAAAAGTTAGCAGCTGTCTGCGGAAGCTGCGACCATCACAGAGCACACCCGGAGAATCACGCTCCTGGTCCCCAGAGGCAGGGACTGCTTAGTGACTCAGCTCAGCTTCTCCGAAACGCCCCTGAGAGGAGAATTTGGATGCCATGACTCTGGGAGAGGAGGAAGACTGGGATGAGGAGGGCAGGGAGAAAGGAGTGAGGGTTTATCCCAGGCAGAGAAGTCCCGGAGGTGGGGTAAGCTCTATCTTGCCTGGAGACACGGGGGTGCAGGTTACGCCTCCTCGGGACGGGTAACGCTTCGGCGAGGTCTTTCACAGCCTCCCCCAAGGTCACGGCTCTGGGACCCGAGGCAAAGCCCACTCATTCTGACACAGCCACAAACAGCAGCTCTAGTAACTCCCAGACAAGGACACAACAGAAGGCATTCGAAGAAGCGGAAGGAAGAAGAAGAGAACAAGAAGAGGGAAGGGGAGGAAGAGCCCACACACAGAATTTATTGTCATAAATAAACTGAAATTCCTGAGCTGGGTTTGGGTCCGGGCACACTGAATTCAGGCCCTCAGATGTGTGATGATCACACCTTGGCGCACTGAATTCAGGCCCTCAGATGTGTGATGATCACACCTTGGCCCTCCCTGGTTCTGTTTCTCTGCTCTCAGATGCTGCCTGGAATCACAGCGCAGGCACCAGGAGCTCGGCTACCATTCTCCAGCTGAGCAACCTGAGGACACTTTCCCGGGGTCTCCCAGTGCGAGTCCTAGATCACTTCCGAGTCACTGACAGGCTGAACCAACATCCCCAGAGGAATGGAGCCGGGGAACGAGTGCTCTTCGTGGAGAGCTGACCGTTCCCTACGTGCCTGCTTCTGCAGGGAGGAGTGGGCCCTTCAGTCTCAAGAGAGGTGTGTTCCCAGGCGCCTGCTGTCCTCCAGAGGGAAGGACCCACACACGTTCACTGTGGGCCCTGGTTTTCCCGAGAAACAACTGTCAGGACTTTTCTTCCTCTGGGTGAGCCGCTCTGAGCCAGGTAGAGACGCTGCTGAAGTGGCTTTGGGAAATGCCTTGCCCTTCTGATAATTCTGTCCTCTCCTCTGCTCTTAAATCCTGGGCTTCACTCCTCACGTAGGACTTGAGCACAGTGTGAGCCTAAACCAATTAAATGGTCACAGTCGCATGGTCACTCTCTTCCTACTTCTTACTTTGCAGATAGATATGAGACCCATCAGAACCAATCAGAGACATCAGACAGCAGCCAATATTTCTAAGAAAAAGACAGCTGCTACTTCCAGACAAAGTTGAATCTAAGAGAATACCAGACTAGGAGCTCATGCAATCACTTGAGATGGGGGTTAGGGGGGTGTTTCTGCTTCCAGATGGAGTCAGCTCCAAGGAGGCAGAGCTGAGAAATGGAAGGAGACCAGAGAGACTCGGGATCCTGGTGACAGTGAATGAGGTGCTGTCTGAAGCCGAGTCCAAAACTAACCCGACCTCTGCCTGCTAAGAGAAGTGAAGGGATACGTTCTCTTCTGCTTAAATTACTTTGGGCTGGGATTTCCACCCCTGAAAGCAAAATCTCCCACACATATACATCCTTATAGCTCACTATCCTCTGGGGCCTCAGCAATAGCCCCCGGGGAGACGTCGTTCACACTGACAGCAGCGCAGCAGTAGCTTCTATAACTGACTCAGCTCCAGCCCTACCACAGCTGTTTCTTAGTGGAACTCAGCGCTGTTGGTGCAGGCCTTGAGTGTCTTCTGTAAGGCCAGGAGCAATCCTAACTCTCCTGCAAAATGAGTGGCCAGAGACTGGGATAAACAGATTAATCTCATCATAATCATGGGTAAGGCTGGGAGGAGAGGGGGTGTAGCTGGGAGCCTCCACCAGACCCCCCAGTTATGGAGGAGAAGTTACCCACTAAGGAACGGCATGCTCATATCAGAAGGGCAGGCCAAGGAGAACACTGCAGACAAAGCATGCAGCCTACCAGCGGCGGACAGGACAAGGAGCACCAGCATCGCTACAACCTGAGAAGGGAAGGCATGTGCCATGGCCACGCATGAGCCACGTGCAGAGCACAGACTTGTGCCTGGTGGTCAAGAGTGTTTCCCCTTTTACCTGCTTCCTTTGCTGGGGAGCTGAGCTCAACTTAGGACGCAGGAATGGTTACCAGTTCATGCTCCGGGTCTGCACTATCAACTTGAGTGCATTCCTGGACAGTGGAAGCACAGACAAGGTGTGTCTGTCACCCCAAAAGCCCCCAATATGGACACCAAGCTCCAACCTCACCGTGATGTGAACCACCAGGAGCCAGGACCACCACAGCCTTCCCTCCAAGAAAACAGCCACGCTATGGAGATAAGCAGTGGCCTGTGTGTCCAGGGCTTGGTCCACATACTTCCTAGCTCACCCACACACCAGCGAGCTCCTGCAGAGCCACAGTCCCACAGTTCTCTTGAGTCTTGATAAGCCCAAGCTATGATCCTTGAGAATCTCTCTCACTATCATCATCAGCATCACCCCAGAATTCCCTCGCCCATGGATAGTCTAAGGGCTTTCCTGTTACATCTTCTCTAAGACGTTTCTCCTTAAGGCCAAGACCCAATCCAACATTCACCTCTCAGACCATTCAACAGGAGAAACCCCAAATTGGAAGCAGGAGACCCAGCTGCAGACGCTGACTCCCTTGTTGTGAAAGCCCGAGCCGGTGCTGCCTGTCTGAACAGCTGCCTGCTCTTCGCATGACCATAATCCTCCAACACGGGGTTTCCAGCATCACCTGGCCACTACAAGCCCTGGACACGACCCTCTCCTCCTCTGTCCCCATCCCAGCTTCCTCCGACTCCAGGCTGCCTCTGCTCCCAGGGAGACCAGAGTGCTGGGAAGAGAGGCTCTTGCCCCTGCGACAAGCGGAGTCCAGGGTGTTTCTGTTTTAGAAATAAACCATGTACTCCTTTTCATTTGGGGATTGAAAAGCAAACACAAAAGAAATGCAAGAGAAACTGCAGAGCTGATTGCCGAGGGCGCTTCCCATCATGCAGTGTAGACAGAGAGCACCTAGCAGGGAAGCCGAGCACAAGGTCCTCACTCGCTAAGGCCTCCTGCCTCAGGCTGGTGTCAATTCAGGAGAACTGGATGGCCCCTTCATCGCCGGACTCAGTCAGCCAGGGACCAGAAGAGACGCCCTGGAGAAGGGCGCTGTACAGTTCCCTCTGGAAGTTATTCCTGCTGGGCCCCATGTGCCAGTTCTGCAGAGGATCACGGGTGACAAAGGTACAGTGACATATGACACTAACTGGAAGCCTCAGCACTGGGCTAAGAGTACACACATGCAGGTGTGTGGGCAGTATGGATGGCAGTGTGGATATCTACCCAGGGCTGTCGCTTGCACACACACACAGGAAGAGGCACATCCAATCTCTATTCGACGCTGGAGCACCTTGACCTCCAAAGCCCCTGTGAGCCAGAATCTGAACCTAGGTGTGAACCCCTGCTCCACACCCACACTTCCAGAAGTCCACAGCATGGGAAATCTTTTTAGTTATGTCAGGTTACTGTCCCTCTTCTTGTCCCCCAGTCAGCTGCCCCCCACAGCACAGCCGTTTCCAAGAGAGGCCTGGGCCACAACAGCTGCACTGCGTGGGGTTTGCAGCTGGCACCTGTGCCCCCCGGCAATGTGCCTGCAGCATCCAACATGCACCATGGACACCAAAGCCCCCGGCGCACAGTGAGGAAGGGATGTCCCTGAGAGCACCAGGCAGTTCCCACTAGAGCTGGCTGTTGAGGCCCAGGAGAAACTCTACGAGGTAAAAGCAGGGCGTGGGGACAAATTCACTTTAAGAAACCCCTGGGATGAGACTCACAGAAGATGCTCTGGAGAGGGTGGCGTCCAATAAATCATTTTCCAAATGGGAAGTGGAGGTCTGGACTGGAGAAAGCAGGCCAGTCCAGGACAGCGTGAGCTGGCCCGAGAAGCCAGGCAAGTACAGCAATTTGGAAAAGCTCTGGACACACACAGTCCTGAGTTCAACCCAAACTTCAGTGTGGCTAATTATTCACACCAACTTCTCTAGGACTGGAATCTTTATAAGTAAAGCAAGAATACCTAGGCCCATAGGGTTAATTAAGAATAAGTGAAATACTGCATAAAAAAGTCTAGTATTCAGCAGGAGCTTAATAAGTGCTGGCCTCTGCTCTTCCCGTGCTCACCTTCTCCCATCGCTCTACACACAGCCACAGCTGTTCCTCAGTCCACTCGCTGCACGGTGCTTGGGTGTTCTGCTCTGAACTGAAGGGCTTCTCCAGAAGACGGGAGCTTGCCCTGGAGAATCCAACATTCCAGGAACTGCAGGAGACACAGTGCCAATTGGAGTCCAAAGCTTACTTCCCCTGCCCCTTCCCCTCTGTGCTGAGCCATCAGAATGGCAGGACTAGTGTGAGACCCTCCTCCTCAGTACCTGGGTTGGCCTTGCTGTATGAAGGAGAAGGAATCCCGAGTCATAGCACCATGAGGTCCCAGATGTGGCCAAGGGAAGGGCTGGGCAGGTCCCTGCTGTCTGTGGATCCAGAAAAGCCCTTCTGAGTCACAGAACCACACAGGTTTTGTGGTTTCACAAGGCAGCAGGGACTCAGGACTGCAGCGGGTATTGGGAGTTCTACTGCCACGTCCATAGAACTCCTAAGATCACGCGGTAGATCCGGGCTCAGAGCACACAGGGCCACCTCAAAAGACAGCGACTCCAATTGCATCCTAGCAGGGGATGACCACCTTCCAAAGACCACACTAAGAATCCCTCTAGTCGGAAGGGTAGGAGGAGAGGGCTGCGAGGCCCCTCAGGACTCAGTTGTCTGTGAGGCCACCAGAGAGTAGAGCTCAACTCCACCAAAGGCTCGGGGCATAAAGTGGATAGCACCAAATATCATGACGACAAGGGCCTTCGTGAGCTCAGGAAACACACCTCCTGTCTTTTGACCAAGTGTAAATTTGATCCGTGCAATATCATCCAAAAACTTAGCTGCCACTTTCCAGCCAGGAAAAGTCAGGCTGAAATGCCCTGCTTCCCTCCCCAGCCCAGAAACTGGAAACCACCTGAGCCTAGCAAAGCAATCCGTACAGCGCTGACCCACTGAGGAAACTAGGTCACCCAACAGGGGGCTACCTGGAAGCGGTGCCCGCCAGCGAAGCATCCAGGCTGGGCCTCCCAGGACACACACATCTCTGTCCGTTCAGTCTCCACACCATTAACAAGCAGAGATTTCCCTAGACTGCTCCTCGCCAGGCTCGTTGGGAAGGAGGAAGACAAGTTTCCCGAGACACAGAAAGTCACTTTGTCTGGGAACTGGCCATAACCAAAGTGGGCCATCTTCCTTCTCCTGAGATTCTAAGGCCTTTATGCCAGTTTTGGGGTGGAGGACTCTGCAGCAGGACCACGGGCACTGTGTCAACAGCCAGTGACCCGGATTCATAAATTGTCTAGAATCTAGACCTGCTCGTCCATGCCCTGTTTTCACCCACCAAACCTTCATTCATTCCAGAAATGCTTATGAATCATCTACTATGCACTAAGTGGACATGACCACTGCCCAGTGAGCCTAGTGCTTGAAAAGCACTGCTATGTCTGCTGGAATCCCTATCATCTGTGTCACCCCTTACCCCAGTTCCATTCCACCCCGTCAGTGACTCCCGCTGCGGAGGGGCAACATCCCTGCAGAAGAGGTGGAAACCTTGGAACACATTTCAGAGTGGTCTCTGTGAGAATGTGGAGAGCCGGAACCCTCCCCAGTCAGCACAGGAATGGTGTGGGAGGGTGGGTTCCCTGAGCACCACAACAAATCCACTTGGCTGAGGAGGGAAAGCCCAAGGAATGGAAGTACCCAAGTCACCGACAGATAGTGTTTCCGACTATGAGAGAAAGAGGAAGCTCCCACAGAGGCACGGCTTCTTCGTGGCCTTCATCCTCTCATAATTCTGCCGCCATTTTGGTTTTGTGTTGTCACTGTGGTTGTGAAGATGAGATAGAAGCAGAATGTCGGGCACCGTCATCTCCTTTCACCCACCCTGATGGTCTTCAAATCACTGGGGCAGCCCTGTTTAATACACGGAGCCCTTTCAGGGGCACCAAGATGTGGGTTAGAGGGCAGAGGCACAGGCAGCACTGTGCCCTCTCCTGGTCCTGCCCTGTGGAAAGAGTGGTTTTTGAAGATATTCTAAGGATGGAGATTTGTGTGAAGAAAGCCTCTCACAGAGCTTTCTGGAAGTCTCCCCCAGTCACTCACCCACCCAAACTGGGACCGAAGAGAATGCTGAGTTATATCTCCATTACTTTTTTTTTTGAGACACGATCTCACCACATTCCCTCAGCCTCACATGGGTCACCCAGGGAAGATGAAGCCTGCCCACGGGAAAAGGAGAATTGACAAAGGCCACGGAACAGTGGTAGCAGTCTCCTGACTTTCTCACTGAAGTAATTTTCAGGACCACGTAAGGGTAAGAGTGCTACTCAGCAAAGCCTGAAGTGAGAGGAGGGTTAGGGCTATCGTGAAGGGCAGCTGTCCCCCGATTGTCCACCAGCAGAGATGCACGGAGGGAATCACAGCCGAGCAGGCTTTGCGAGGCTGGCCCCTGCTCGACCCTTCCCAGGACAATCACGGCCCAGCTGCAGGGCCCGCTGGCCAGCCCTAGCAGTGCTGCATGGTCTGGGCCTGTCTGCGGGAGGTCACCTGCAGGACTTACCTGGCTCAGGTACGGAACCCTCACAGGCTGCGGGCCAGCGGGCGACAGGCAGGGCCCAGCGGGGGCCAAGTCAGTGCGAGGAGACATAGTGTCAGCGTCTAGCTAGCCCTCAAAAAGATCATGAATAATTTTTTGGAAGCAGCTAAAGGCTGTACATATTCTACGGCCATCAAATGTGGACTGTACATTGTTTTTAAATTTATTTCGTTTTCTCTTTTGCCAGAAAAAAAAAAGACACCAGTTTTGGGCCTTAGAACAAGCCTGCTTCCCCGGTCTCCAGCCCTGTCTCCCAGGCCCGGGCATTTATGGTGTTTTGTC